TGTACTTTGAGTTAGTTATTTTTTATCAAAGAATTATTTGTATTCATGAACACTTAAATTGTTTCCATTTTGTAAGTAATGATTGTTTCATTAAAATAAATTCCTAAGATTTAAAATGCTTATTATTACAATATGCACATTTTTAAGATATATATATATAACCAAACTGAATTACTCAGAGAAACAATATAGAACTCTGATTTCCCTGAATCCTAGATAACACTGGACAGTACATAATTCTTCATCTTTAGTATTATATTCAATATAATCAATGCCTGATACTTTTTACATGTAAAAACAATATATTTTTGTCAAGATTTAATCATTCTGATCTACCACAAATATTACTTTTGCCACTGTATTATTTATTTTTTCCTTATATAGAATTACTGTGCAAATTTTGTATTTTTAATCATATTTTATATTAAGTTACACATTTAGATATTTAAATAATATAATTATTTTATGTATATAGGTAAATGTTTTATTGTGCTTCTATTCTGTCTAACTGGAATACATGTATTTCAAAATAAATTAAAAGAAAGGAAAATGGTTTTCTGGTGGGAGGAAAGTATAGCATCAATTTGTTAGACCAGGTATGCATCGATAATATAACTTTAATCAACTTCGTGTGCTTCTTTAATTTTCAAATATTTATTGCACACTTATAAAGTTGGATACTATGCTAGCAATACCAAAAACAGGCACAGTGTCTTCCTGAACAAAATTGGAAAAGGAAAGAAAACATTACTCAAATAAGCAGACCAATGAAAGGTAAAATGGTATTTTTGACAGATGCTACAAGTTTATACACAATCCTATGAAGATTCATAAAATGGGTATTTAACCTATAAATTATTTCCTTTTCATTTATAAGAAACTACTATAATTTATTTTTTACCTGAAACTAAAACCTAGCCAAACCTCAAACATTTGTTTCCCATAGCAACCATCTATGTTAAAGAGTAGACAAAGTAAGGGAAAATCTTATGCAACAAACCTATCATCTTTAACTCTTAGAGGAACTTAAAATTTATCAGGTATAAATTCACTAGTGTAAATATAACGTCAATTTTAAAGATGGTGAAAGTATCTTAGATGTAATAAGCAGATAATAAAACTTGTTAATTAGATTTACATCTCTAAAATAGCCATGGTACTTTAAATATTTAAATAAAAGGAGACTAAAGAGCTAAAATCATAAATGCATCCTTTTAAGCCTTTTTCTCCAATGTTACTCTTAAACTTGCTAACATGAATCAGATCCCCTTATCAACCAAAACATCATAATTTAGAGCTTTTTGTTTGTTTGTTTACCTTTTCCTACTTATACTAGAATTTTAAAAGTTAAGTTGTGATTTCCTGTTTCTTGTTCAAATTCCATTCCAGGAATGGCAGGCAGGTGCTCCACTCTCCTCAGTCATTCACCATCCAGGTGACTTTTGTCACGTTTCTCTTCCATCCCTTGGTTATGGTTCTTACCTGCGTTGTCAACTGGGCTTCAGGTATGTCCATGTCCAGCTCACAAGAAGGCAAGTGTAGTAGTGTACCTCTAGGGCTTTAAAACACAGACCCAAAAGTAACATAGGTTATTTCTGCTCCAGTTACACTGAAAATAACTTAGTCACGTAACCATATTGCAGGAGAGAGCTGGGAAACAGTCTCCAGCTGGTGGGCAAATGCCTAACTATAACTTTATTTCTTTAAAAAAATTAGAGAAACAAATATAGGTGCACATTTAGCAGTTTCTCCCATGAAGCTCCCTCATACTAATGTAATTATGCTTAAAATATTTATCTATCATCAGATAGATGACCTTTTAAAAGAAAAAGAACAGCACCACGATTTGCCCTCACCATCTTATTTTGTCACCTACCATGTTAATTAATTTTATAAATGTTTATTGAGAAATATATATTGGTACAGTAGTAGGTATGTAGGATATAAGAATTATATGTTAGAGTTCTAGACTTCCAGAAGTTTGTCATCTATTTGAAACTGATATGTGCCAACTGCAGTGGCAGATGATTTAACAAGTTTGCCATCGAAAGAGTTTAAAATATATCACTCTAGCATATTAAATATTTAAGTTAAAGGTGCTTTAAAAAAAGTGCAAAAAGATCAATCTGATCTTCATGCCGTTTCTTAAAAGCAGAAGGTGAAATTCCCATGTGAAAGATGCCCTCCTAGACTAGAAAGATGAAACATACTTACTTCAACGACAATAAATTGAAACAGAATTTTGAATAGACATTTTAAAAAAAAAATTCTTACCTTATAAGGGTCTCCACAATTTAGTTGCTTCATCACAACTTACTACTCCATGTCCAATTCAGTGTGTAAGTAATTGAATTTAACTTCTTTTCTGGAATTTCATTTTCTTATGAGGGCTCCCATGCCATGTAAAACTTGTACTATGCTTTTCTCCTATTAATCTATGTCATGACATTTTAATTCCCAAACCTAGCTGAGATTCTAAGAGAATGAGGGTGGAACTTCCCACTCCTACATTTTGTGGCAACCCAGATAGGACCCTAAAAGGCTGGGATACCCCCTGTGTCAGAGCCTGCAAATGGGATCCCGAGAAGGCTGATAAGTCAGCAGAAGGCAGGAATTCTTACCAAAATCAGCTCTCCTGGATCTCTTCTATAGGGCCAGTTAAGAGGGAAGTAAAAAAATCTTTCTTTGTTCATTCTTTTCCAAATTTGGATTGGCAGGAGAAAAACACTTACAAGAATTGATTCTTTGAAATGTGACTCTCTTGTGAATTTGGTTCTTGGTACTCACAAATTATTGATCTACAGCCTTCCAGGAATAGTCCTTGTTTTCTTTTGTCTATGTCTTGTTATGTGATTTTTCATAAGGAGGAAACATATAATAAAATGTTTCTTTCATCTTGAGAGCTTGGCTTTGTGACCAGTGAAAATATTCTCTCTGGTTTCTAGCACCTGGGGGGTTACAAGTTATTGGGCTTGCATCAGGTAGCTTGCCAACAGACCAGAGCCCAAAATACAAAGTGTCTTTTTGCCTGAACATGCCAGCAGTCCTTGGTGTTTGTCTTAATGAAGGTACTTAGTACCTTCATTGCCTTGGTAACAATGAAGGTACTCAGTTTCTGAGGGTATGTTTAAAAGAACCTTTGGATCTTGAGGGAAACAGCATCTTTTGCACCCCTGGAGAGAAACTTCTGGCATCCATGGTTAAACCACAAAAGGCTTTTTGGTTTTCAGCCATAAAAAAGGCTTATTGGTAGCCGGGCACATGGTGGCACATGCCTGTAATCCAAGCTACTCGGGAGGCTGAGGCAGGAGAGTCACTTCAACCCGGAAGGCAGAGGTTGTGGTGAGCTAAGATCGTGCCATTGCATTCCAGCCTGGGCAACAAGAGTGGAACTCAATCAGAAAAAAAAAAGGGGCATATTGGGTTTGAGTCACAAAGTAGGTATACTTTTGGAGATTTGGACTTTTGCATCCAAAAGTTTTGTTGTTGTTTGGTTGGTTTTTTTTTTTTTTTTTTTTTTAGATCATTCTCATCCTAAACAATTGTCTTACTAGTACCTATGGGAAAATTTGACTTAAAAGAAGAAAATAAGCATTTATATAAATTAAGCTTTTTTTTTTTCCAAAAAAATAGGAACTAACCTAAAAGTTTTTCAAGTTCACATTATCTGGGATAACCTTTGGTAAATAAAAAAGCTAGTTTAAGTTGTTGGTTTAATTGAAACAGGCACATCCTCAAAGTTGTCAACATTAAATATAATGCAGACATACAACTTCTACCTGAATTTACTAATCAAAAAACATATGTATATTTAAGATTATAAAAGTATAAATTCAGCCTGAGAATGACATGTAAAATGAATAAATAAATTTCTTGATGTATGTCAAACATATCAATTAAAAAAGAAGTTTTGTTTTGTTTTGTTTTTGTTTTGTTTTGTTTTTGTTTTGTTTCTGGAGACAGCCTTGCTCTGTCACACAGACTGGAGTGCAATGGCACGATCTCGGCTCACAGCAACCTCTGCCTCTTGAGTTCAAGAGATTCTCCTGTCTCAGCCTCCTGAGTAGCTAAGACAGGCACCCACCACCACGCCCAGCTAATATTTGTATTTTTAGTAGAGACAGGGTTTCACCATGTTGACCAGGCTGGTCTGGAACTCCTGACCTCAGGTGATCCACCTACCTCAGCCTCCCAGAGCGCTGAAATTATAGGTGTGAGCCAGCAGGCCCAGCCAAAAAAGATGTTAAAAAGCCATATGTTTTGACTTTTAGGTTCCTCGCTTCTGTGATTTTTAAAATACTTGCTTGATTTATCTTCAGGCTAAAATAATTTAAGATAATGACTAGCTTTGTTTAGTGTCTCACAAAGTTTTCAGGACCAATTTAAACATAATTATCAAAATGATGTAAATTAATAAATATAAATATAAGTGGGATAAACATTTATAAATAGAATTTTAAAGTGACTATGTTTTATAAAATATGTCCTCTTAAAAATTCAAAATCTTTGGTAACTTAAAACCTTAAAGTTATACTGTTAAGTTAAATGATGAGTATTTGTTGAATCACTAAATTACCTTCAAATAAGACACAATGTTGAAACATTAATTGCTAATAAATGTAATCTATATACTTTGGCTTCTTATTGCAGAAGAAAAAAACATATTTGGTTCTGTTGCTAAAAATGTCCTGTGTTGTATTGAAAACTTGTGCCCTGAGGATGCGTATATTTTTTTAAAATTATAAAGTAGATCAGGCATGGTGGTTTACACCTACAGTCTCAGCACTTTGGGAGGCCAAAGCAAGAGAACGGCTTCAGCCCAGGAATGTGAGATGAGCCTGGGCAACATAGCAACACCCCATTTCTATAATCTCAGCACTTTGGGAGGCCATAGCAAGAGAATGGCTTCAGCCCAGGAATGTGAGATGAGCCTGGGCAACATAGCAACACCCCATTTCTAAAAAAAAAAAAGAAAGAAAGAAAGAAAAGAGGCCCCCATCATGGAGCCCCAGGAGAGTGCAGGGACCAAAGTCCTGCTGCGGAGTTTCGCACTGCGCTCCTTCCCAGGCAAGCTTAGAAGCAAAATTAAGAGACATCAGAGTCTGGGCTGCTGCGGGATATTTTGCAGAACACTGTGAAGCGTCCTCTATGTGTGAAGCATCCTCTGTGTGTGAAGCACCCGCCGTCAGTCAAGCATGCCCAGCGCTTTCTCTCAGAGCTCAACAAGATGCACGAGGCTGTCCACCCGGAGCCTCTGGACGAGCTGGACGAGGCGCTGGCGGAGATTCTGATGGCCAAGGAGTGCACCCAGGGCCACTGGAGCTATCTGCTGCCCTTGGGAAACTCGGTCCCGCTCTCCGAGAGCACAGCCGTCAACTCGCACGGCACCACGGGCCTGGTCACATGGGACGCTGCCCTCTACCTTGCAGAATGGGCCATCCAGAACCCGGCAGCCTTCACTCACAGGGCCGTCCTAAAGCTTGGCAGTGGTGGTGCTGGCCTCACAGGCCAGGCCATCTGCAAGATGGGCTGTCCCCGCGCATACATCTTCAGCGACTGTCACAGCCGAGTCCTCGAGCAGCTCCAAGGGAAAGTCCTTCTCAATGGCCTCTCGTTAGAGGCAGACGTCATTGTCAATGGAGACAGCCCCAGGGCGACAGTGACCCAGCCGGACGGGACAGCTCTCTGCCTTCCAGCCAGACATTGTCATCACGGCAGGAAGTGCCCAGCCCCGGGCACCCTGTGCAGGCGGTGTCCTTGTAGCTCCATCCAGCTTCCGGCTCCTGGAAAAGACGTGCTGTGTTGCCCGGAAGCCATCGGGTCACTGGTCGGGGTCCTGCGGAGGCTGGCTGCCTGCTGCGAACACCAGGGGGCTCCTGAGGTCTACGTGGCCTTCATCGTCGGCAACTCAGAGACGGGCCAGCTGTTCACCACCGAGCTAGGCTGGGCCGGGATCAGCTGGAAAGCGGAACTTTCGTCACGACCAGAAACTGTTTCCCTACGAAAAGTACTTGGAGATGGCAATTCCGAAACTCATACTGTAGGCCTCACACACGCTTTCCAACATGATTGTGAGAATCAAGTCGCTATGGGCAGAATTTTTATATGGAAAGTGGATAAAACTTACATTGTACTGGAATGTTTGAAGAACGTTAAATGCCAAATCAGGAACCACAAACTACCTTCTAATAAGATATCAGTTGTCTAAGCGTGTGCGTTTCCCTTCTGCCAGCAGTTCTGGTTCTTAAGAAAATCACCATAGGCCGGGTTTGGTGGCTCATGCCTGTGATCCTGACACTTGGGGCAGCAGAAGCAGGTGGATCACGGAGTCAGGA